ATTCATTACATAGGACTGAGTGAACTGGAGAATATGGTTTTATAAAATGGTTTTTATCTGAAATATTACTGACTTTAATCTGTGTTCTCCAGATATAAGTAAAGCTTTCCCCTTAAGCTAATTATGACTTCCAGCAGCTTGATAAATTACACCTTCATAAGGAGAACTGAAATATTTATCTTTTCTCTCTACCTGATCCCTCCAGAAATTGTAAACCTTAGGTTTCCAGCAGCCTTATCAGGTGAATAAGGAAGATCACCTCCTGACAGGTGCAAGAATCTCAAGGTATTTGGGGGGCCTCGAGAAGAGAAGAATTCACCCAAATCTATAGATATCGCAAGCAGAATCTGTGATAAGCCCTTGGCTGGAGTGGCTTTCCTGGCCTTGAGAGTCCTTTTAAAAAGTTCAATCTGATATTCCTTATGAAAAGTTCCAGCACAGCTGATTTAAAAGAGCCTATATGATCAATTACACTTTTTGTAAATAATCAGGCCAAGTTTACTAAAACCAGACTTATTTTGCAAACAAATTAGTCTTTTAAAAAAATTTTTTTTCTATTTCTTTAATTTATTTCTTTATTATTTTTTGGGGCTGTGTTGGGTCTTCGTTGCTGCACACAGGCTTTCTCTAGTTGCAGCGGGCGAGCGGGGGCTACTCTTCATTGTGGTGTGCGGGCTTCTCATTGCGATGGCTTCTCTGGTTGTAGGAGCACGGGCTCTAGGGGCGCAGGCTTCAGTAGTTGCAGCACGCAGGCTCAGTAGTTGTGGCTTGTGGGCTCTAGAGCGCAGGCTCAGTAGTTGTGGCGCACGGGCTTAGTTGCTCCGCAGCATGTGGGATCTTCCAGGACCGGGGCATGAACCTGTGTCCTCTGCACTGGCAGGCAGATTCTTAACCAGTGCGCCACCAGGGAAGCCCAACAAATTAGTCTTAATTTGGCTATATTTGGTTGAAATGAGGGTAATTTTAGAGAGAAAAAGATTATGTTCCAATGGATATTAAATTCTAGCTTTGTTAGTTGAGAACTGTATTTACTGCCTAAGACTCACTTCCCAGATAACTCCTTGTTATTATACTACATTATTGTAAAGTTTAATTGAATTATTAAAAGGACACTCTAAATTTGTTTCTGAAGCTTATCACAGCAGTCTATCTTTGGATGAAGATCAGATGCCCCATGGCCTGCAACCAGGAAATTATTCATCCTGGAAAAGGCATCAGTTAAAGGACTGTCTAACCTAGATGAAAAGACCCTTATTAGGTATTCTTAAGTAGCTCTTGCACAGCAAAACTGAAAGGAATTGACTCTTGAATTCAGATTTTCCACTTAAGAAGGGTATCTTCACTGGACTGGCCTATAGAAAGGACTACTGACCGCAAATGACACCCACATCAAGAGGAGAAGGAGAAGAAGATGACAGCAGTGGTAGACTGTTGACCCAAGAATCTAGACCAGGTCTGTAAGACCCATCTTACTAATTCAATTGAACTGTTTACCAAATGTTTGTCTCCTATCAAAATTGAAAGTTATTATTTTACTTCTAACCATACTGTTGCCCCAATGTTCAGGATAGAAGGAATATTCTCTAGTGAAGTTATCAGAGTATAGCTGCTCATGACATGTATCACTGCTTGCTTTAGGTCTTCTGCTAAAAGCACATGTACAATATTTGTGTGACAATTTGGTGTAATGGATAAAATGTATATCCTATAAAATGTTTCCCCATAATCAGACCTCTGAACTTGTTCACTGTGTCTGATTAGTTTTTACCCAATTTAGATAACTAGGCATATCTCTCTCTCTATGTATATATAGAGATAGATAGATAGATATAGTAGATTTAGGTATCTATATAGATATAGCTATAGATATATATAAACAAAAAGGAGGTCTAGCACTGAGGGACATGATGGATTCAGGGAGGCAGCAATCATGTTGGCATCACAGGACAAATATTTTGATCTATCGAAAGATTTGCAAACAAAAGGGTAAATGATCAAAGAAATTTTCACATATTGAGGTCTGGGAAAGTCATTCTGGCTTATACATCATTTAAATTAAACTGGAACAGCCTATTCTGTGGCTTGTTGAACATACATTGTATTACATCTGCTTTAACCATTAAGGAAAAAATTGCATTTAGAAATCAAAATAGAGTAACTGTGGTTCAGACATCCCAAATAGAACTGGGTGGCCATGGTTTCAGACTTCTTCCTATATTACTGAGGACTTGAATTTTCTGAACTGTATCAGACTCAAGAACACCACCAGCTGTTCTCAACATCTGCTAGCAGCCCTCAACTGCAACCTTATGGTCTCAAGGTGACTATGAAATCTTGATCTTTAGAAATATTAGTAACAAATGAGACAGCTTTAGCCTCCCAGCAGAAGGCATTAGATTCTTTAGCCAGACTAGTACTAGACAATAAAATTGCTTTAGAATAGATTTTAGCAGAAAAAGGAAACATATGTGTAGTAGCTAATAGCTCCTGTTATGTATATGTTAATACCACATCAGAAATTAAAACCTACTTACACAGAATTAGGAAACTGGCTACCTGGCTACAAGTCTCCCCATTAGTACAGGTCCAGGCTGTTTTTCAGGCTTAGTCTCCTGAATTCCTCAGGGAATGAGATCTATTTTCCAAGGTTTATTAAAGTTTGGGTTGTCACTCCTCTTCTAATTGGTTATCTGATTATAAAATGTGCTGTACAGGGAGATCAGCTCAGAGTTTTGTGACCACCTAGAGGGGTGGGATAGGGAGGATGGGAGGGAGACACAAGAGGGAGGAGATATGGGGATATATGTATAGCTGATTCACTTTGTTATAAAGCAGAAACTAACACACCATTGTAAAGCAATTATACTCCAATAAAGATGTTTTGAAAAATAAATTAAAAATGTGCTATAAGCTGTTGCACCAAAATGGTGGACCAGGGGACTAAAATTTAATCACATAAGTCTTGGGTCTAAGACCTGGAACTCGGAAACATGTCCAACTTGGTATGCAATGTTTCCATTCCCCAAACTGAGGCAGGACTATGCCCCATTTCAGCAGGAAGCAGCAGGAAATAGAATAGTCATCACTCTGTTCCCTCAAAGATTTGGGGGAAAGTTAAAACAGGAGTGGGGATTGATGCCGACAGCTCAACTTCTCTGTACACCAGTGCCAAATGGAATCTGAGAGACAGAGTTTTGGGTGAAGTAGAAAAGGATAGCTTTGTTACTTTGCCAGGCAAAGAGGGACGCAGTGGGCTCCTGCCTCGAAAAACTATGTGTCCCAACCCAGGACGATCTGATGAGGGGTTTTGACAATACTTCCCAAGGGTGGGGTTGCTGACAAGATTAGGGTGTGTGCTGTCTCAGATGGTCAGGTCTCCTAATCTTGACTCAGGTGGTTTCTTGGCTGATCCTCCCTTGATTAGCAACTGTTCAAATCTGCCCTTTGGAACTCCGGGAAGGTCACGGAGGCTGGAGTCTTGCCTACAAGAAATGGGGGACAAAAAGAAACCTCTGTGCCTGGGAGTCCCACAGGGCCCCGCTTAGTTTCAGGATTGAAGCCAAGTCCCCCTAAAACTGAGTTCCTTTACTGAGTTTATGATTAATCTCTCTACCCAAAACTTTATCGCCTTTCTTATCCCCTCTGACCTCAATCCTCTGCTAACTAAACAGTAATCAACCAGAATCAGATGACTCAAATTGCTGTTGTTGATAACATTATTAATGTACTAAAAGCTATTAGAGATAACATCATTAATATACAAACTCAGGTTGTTTCTCCAGGGCAAGATGAGCTAACAGACTGCAAGCCATGGACCACCTGGCCAGAGCATCATAAACCAGGGACATCCTGACTTTCAAAACTACAATGAAGAAATGTCACAAGACAATTAATTCCAGCCTGTTTGTTCTTTAAAAAAATCCTAACTCAAAGACCAAGTTGAAGTGTATATGAGGTTTATCTTCCACTCCCTTGCTTGGAGCACTGCGATAAACACTGTACTTTCCTTCACCAAAACTTGGTGTCAGTAGATTCGCTTTGCTGTGCCTCAGGCGGGATGAGTTCAGTTTGGTAACACAACCGCTCAGCTAGCAGTGTGTCGATCTGTGACCGTGGTTGCCTATGTGGCCATTCATTTTAGCTACTAGGGGCCTCTTGAGACCTCATGTGCCACATAAGATTGTGTGTGAAGACCAGGATTGCCTGTGTTCTGGTGGAACACCTGTGATTCCATGTGGCTTCCTGTGACTTCATGTGACCCTGTGTGGCAGCCTGTTACCACATGGAGCCTCCTGTGACCTTGGGTGGCCTCAGATCCAATCTTCCCAGAAAGAGAGATCTGAGATCCCCAGAGAATATGGGCACAATCCGGCGTAGCTGCCCCTTTTCCAGATCCTAAATAGACCCTCACCGCCCTCTCTCCTCTTTGGCTTGCAGACCTGACATCCAGAGGCTCCTGGTGTCTGCAAACTGGGGGTCCTAGGGGGCGTTAGCATCAGCGGGAACCGGATCACCGGCAAGTGTGCCTTCTAGAACAGGTGACCGCGACCTCTGTGCCACCCGAGACCGTCCAGCCATAAAAGCCAGCATCGCGCTGGGTAGGGGTAAGGGTCGCGCGTTGGTGGGGTGCGCGCGGCGTCGCGCTCCTGCGCTCGTCGCCCGTGCGGCCCTCTCCTGCCGGTTTCCCCAGAACTCCAGGTCGTGACGTTAGGCGGGGCGGAGAGGGCCGGTCGGCTCTGCAGCCTGGCCCCTCCCCCGCCCGGGGCCTCGGCGGTTCCCACGCGGTTGTGAGCGTGCGGAGCGCCCGGACCTAGACCGCGGCGGGGCTGGAAGGGGGTTGGAAGAGGGCTCCGGTGCAGAGCGGGCCCGTGGCGCCCTCCCCCTCCCGCCAAGACACCGCAGCCGCGCGCGGAGGCGGGGCGCTGCGGAGCCGGGTTGGGGGGGGGGCGGGGGCTAAAAATACCCGGCGGCAGCGGCTGCGCTGCTTCTGCTGGGGCTGCGGGGCTGTGGGCCGGGGAGGCCGTGCCAGGTCCATCTGGGTACCGCTGACCGACATGCTGACCTTCTTCCTCGTGTCGGGGGGCTCCCTCTGGCTGTTCTCGGGTAAGTCTCCCCCTTCTCCCCGTCCTCTTCTGTGATCCTCATCCCTGGCACGCTGTGGGGTCTTGGTCCCGGGCTGGAGGGTGATCCCCCAGCCGCGGCTGCCGAGCCATCCTTTTAGGACTACCCTGGGCCCCCCAGGTCTACCCCCTTCCAAATTCTGGCGGGCTTCGGGCCGCGTTTGGGAAGTGCCTGTGTCAGTGAAAATGAGGGGCCTTGCTCTCCGAGACCTCACAACTTCCCTCCGGTTCTCGACTACCCCCGCCCCTTATAGTGAGGACCATCCGCTGAGCAGACTAGGCCCTGAGCCCACTCGTCCCCCAAGGCCAAGTCCAGAGACAGACATTTCATCTTTGTCCATCTCCAGGATGCAGACCCTGAGGATGTTGGACCCCGAGGTCCCACAGCAGGTCAAGGACATGACCGGGACTGACCTGGGGCTTCCTGATACTGGTGAGAGGGCCTCCTCACAACCCCTCCTGCCCACCCTTCAGCCGGAGTACACGATTTCTGTAAAGCAGGGTTCACCTGGCTCCTCAGCTATGTCCATGGCTTGTGTCCCCACCCTGCCAGCGCCCACCTCTCCCCCTCACAGGAGTCAGCCTCTCACCCCTGCATCCTCTCAAGAAACCTTGAGAACCCCCTCTGAATCCCTGCCCAAAGCTCTTGCCCCCTCCCCACACAGGACCTGGGCTCTCACCCAGGGTGCAGTCATCCACCAGTTTTGCTGCCTACCCCAGCCACTCCCCTCTGTGAGTGTTGGGTTCCTCCAGGTTATACCACTAAAGGGTCTCTACCCACCCCCACCCATACCCCCATGTGCAAATTCAGTCTCATAATGTATGTGAAGTGCTCGAACCTTAAACTGGCTTTAAGCTGAACCTGACCCAGAGCAAGTGCTTTATGAATGTTAGTTTTATTATTATTTCATGCTCAAACAGCATCATCAGAGGAGGTAGTAAGGTTCTTTCTGAGCCGAAGAAGGGGAGGAAGGCGACCCTTTTGAAATCCTTAACTGAAACTTTGCCTGTGTTATTTAATATTCACAGCAAATCCTAGGAGGTTGGTGGTGCTCTTTTTTTACTGAGGTTCAGAGGTTAATTGACTTGCCCAATGTCACATGGATAATATCTGACAGATTAGGATTTGATCTGAGTTTTAATTGATTCATCATTGCTAAGTGCTTCCTGGTATCAGGCTTGAACCTAGAGGGTTGGTAGGCCAGGTAGTGGTGGGCACCCCCTGCCACCATTGCCCTGAGTCAGGCCACAGGGACACCTCCCCTGAGCTGGGGAGAGAGTGAGACCTCCCTAATCCCCTCAGCTCCCTAAGCTCCTTCTGTCTGCCGTGTCTGAGGACAAGCCGTGCAGGGGCACTCTGGGCCTGATATGCTCATCCAACAGGCAGGGTTGGAGCTAGAGCTAGGGTTAAGAATAAAGGGCAGGAGTCAACAAAATAATGGTGATGATGATGATGATAGTAACAGCCACCATTTATTGCTTGAATGATGGTCTCAGAGCCTTTTCCCTGTGCCAGGACCCCTTTGCCCTACCCTTAGGAGGCCCCCAGCCAGCCGTGGGTCCAAGGGTAGCTCTCTGGAGCCTTGGTCTTCTGTGGCTACAGGGAAGTGCCTGGGGGCTACAGAGCCACATGTGGCAGGAGTCATCAGCCTCTGAGAAAAAAAGTCTTTACAGTGCGGGATGCTTGTCTGAAAGTGGGATCCAGCAGATGCTAACTCAAACTGGTCTTCTGTCCTGCTTTGGCGTGGAGTGTTTCCCAAAGCGGTCAGGCGCCTCCTAGAATGGGGAAACTGCCTCAATGAAAGACTGTTCAGGGGCCTCAGAATAGTCAAGCAGCGTGACTCTTGTTACAGGTGACATCTTCTTCCCTAGAGACGAAGTTTCTCAGTGGGTACAGGAAATTCCTCAAAGATGCCATACTTGGTGTAAGAGTGAGACACTAGGCTGGTGTGTGGTACCCACTTCAGACACATTGTGGCATTCCCAGATCATGTCCACCTTGCTTGGGACTTTGCCTGGACCCCAGCCTTTCTTTGAGGGCAGAGAGGACACCTAGGCTAACACTGAGAACACATTCTGCCTTGTAATCGCCAGGGTCCCATGGCAGCTGCCAGATCTCTCTGGCTCAGTTAGAAATAGGAGAGGCCCCCTGAAGTGATATTACTCTTTGTAGAGTTATGTGCCGTTTGCCACCCAATCCAGGCCTAGGGAGACAAGGGAAGGGTAGAGGGGAGGAACTGATTATATGGGGGAAGCAACCATGTGCTCTGAGCCTTAGGAGAGCTAGGGCTGTATTTGTCCTGTTCCCCACTGAGGCCAGCCCAGATCCCACCTGTGTGTTGAGTAATAAACAAGGAAACAAAATAGATCCAGTGTGGTGAGTCAGATGCTGTGCCTTGCCCAGGAAAACATGGTCTCAGTGCTGTGAGCTCTCAGAGGACGATGGGAGCAATGGATTGGCACTTCTACCTGCCTATATGGCACCCTTGTACAAAGTAGAAAGAGGCTCCCCTCCTGGTGGATGAATTTCTAGGCTGATGCAGCCCTGTGTCCTTCTACATTGTCCAGTCTGTGCAACCATATACCCAACCATCGGTTTGAGTGGGCTTTTGCAGCATATAGGGAGGGGTGTTTTGTCAGAGTCGGGTAGGCCAAACCCCAGGTAGAGAAAATTAGGCCAGCAAAAGTGTGCAGGAAGAATTGTGGTGGGAGGTGGGTCTTTAGGGTCTTGTGCCTGAGGAGCCTAGCTTGTAGGAGGGGATGGAGTCGGGATGGAGTCTGGATGGGAGGGGATTCTAGAGAAAAGGGTTTTATTTAGGGGGGCAGAGGAGCCCTCGATTTAGCTGCAGTGGCCAGGCTGAGCCAGAAGGAGGAGGGTGGAGGCTGGGAGAGCAGTGGGAGGCTGTTGTGATGTTATGGATGAGAATAACTGTGGCCCAAGGATGGCCCAGTTGAGGCTGGGTTCCAGGAAGGGAAAGGTAGGAGGCCCTAGCTGTGACCCTTGGGGGAATGGGGCCTGGCCCTCGTGGCAGAGATTGGTGTGGCAGCAACCTGGCTGTAGGTATCCAGGGCAGGTGCAGACTTGCACAGCCTAGCTCAGCCCAGCCCCATCAGATTCTCCCCACACCCCTGCTCCCATTAGGGTGGAGGACTGGTGTGAGGTCTGGGGCCATCCCAGGGGGCCCAAGAAGGCAGCCAGGGCCCTGACAGATGATGGGGCACCAGGCAGCACATCTGAGGGCACTCCTCACAAGAGAAGGCCTGGATTTGCACATGGTGCAGAACTGTGTGGGAGAATTCGTACCTCAGTGCCTTCTCTCCCTCCCCGGCCCGTAGTAGGATACAGGGGTGCTCCCAGTGAGAGCACACTGACACCAGGGGGTGGCAGAACCCAGCCATTCTGCTCTCTGGATGGTTTTTTGTCCCTTGTGATTACAGGGGCTCTTGGGTTGACCTTCAGAAGGCCGAACTTGGCTCAGCTACAGCCCCAGATGGGACCCAGGACTGTCCCCCACACACAACATGCAGGATAAGTGAGCATGAGGAGTTTGCAAAAAGAGGCCGAAGTTACAGGCGTTGATGTAACAGAAGCTGCAGTGTGTAACTAGCCAGTGCCTGGCACGTAGTAGGCACTCAGATATTCGTTGAATGAAGTACTTTTGGGGGGGAGCAGTGTTTTCATGGGGGAAGTGTTGTTGCAAACATGCTGACTTGACTGCTATTGCCCTCAGCACCCATCACGTGTCCAGCACCATGTTCTACAGTTCCCCAAGCTTTCCTTTAATCTTACCCACAACATTGTGGTGCTGTTATCCCCATTTAATAGATGCAGCACAAAGACACAAGGAGGTTCAGTGGTGAAGCAACTCCTGAGAGCTGTGAGTCAGACCACATGCTCAGACTCCAGGCCAAGAAGGGACCCGGAGGATCAGGCAGGGTCAGGCAGGGCCTGAGCCCCTCCAGCAGGCTAAGTCAGTGGGCACAGACAAAGGAGCAGTCCTTGGACGGGGAGGGTTTAAAGAGAAGACAGGTGTAAAGAGCAAAGAGCAGGGGCTGGCACATAGGAAAGGGCTCACTGAATGTTAGCTAAAGTTATAACACCTTGAGCTAAGCCTTCCTCAAAGGAGGTGCAGGATTCTGACGTGCAGAAAGTGGGTAGGG